CTTTCTCATTTATATAATATAGAGGATATATATATATATATATATATATATATATAATTTTGTTCAACCATAATGGAATCTTTGGATTGAAAGATATATTGCATTCAAAAATTGATGAACTAAATTAAAATTACCGAAAGAATGTTGTTCGAATTTTTTGTAATTAGCAATAGAATGGTCTACGAAATTCTTGAGTTGTACCTATATAATAAATTGAAAAAAATACTTACATGATTGTTATCCTATATGAAAATTTTCACATACCTCAAAGAAGATTTCATCATTGTAGATAATAAAAGAAACTTAAAAGCATTTAATCAATATCACTTATGGAGTAATTTATAGCAATTTGGAAATATAAATGTGAAATGAATTCTCAAGGAAACATCTTAGTAACGGTGTAATGGCAAAGTTGGAAATAAAAAATAGTGTACAACATCCAAAGCATAATGTACAACTCTTTTGGATGGAAAAAGTGCATAAAATTAAGGGGTACCTAACTCTCTTTCTCATTTATATAATATAGAGGATATAATGGACAAATTAACTAACAATACATGATTTATATAATTCTATATATAATTCTTTTTTAAAGACAAATACATGATAATGGCTGGATGTCATAGAGGAAAAGCTGAAAGTAATGTGTAAAAGAAAGTGAAAGGATGTAGTGTAAATAAAAAGGTATTGGATAAGTCTGTCTTTGTTGATGTGAATGAAGATCTTGTGCCATTAAGTGATTCACAGAGACAAATGCCTTCTTTGATTGGTAGCCTTGCAAGGGATCCTAGAATACTACCGTTTGATTGTTTTGATTGGAGAGAAATGAAAGAGGAAAAGAATGATCTAAAATGGATAGAAGTTAAGGTACACATAACTTTTATAAATGTGTATTTCCAAAAAATTAAAAATTAAAGTGACTCTTAAATCTTATTCACTGCTTACCTCTGATCTTCATGATTTATAAAATGCTTTAGCGGTCCTACAACTTTCTGAAAGGAGAGGAGCCATGTGAATGGGTGATAATGAAAGCACATGCTTCCTCGAGAGATTAGAAAATTTGAGCTGAAAGGGACATGTTTTAAGGGAAAAATCTTGCAACAGCATTAGAGAAAAGGCCCGAACATGTACCTTTAAGTATGTGGCCGAACTTGGCAGAGTTTTAGAGTTCAGATAAAGCAAAGGTAGTATTTTAAAACACTTTTCCATTGTATATGCTAATTTATTTTGAGGCATATAAGTCTAAGAATGTCGACTATAATTTCATGCACAAGAGAGGTGAAATAAGGGCTAAGAATCGTAGTAAGCATCAAGTTGCTTATTATTTTGGGGCAAGAAGTCATGCCCGTATTTGAGCTAAAGAAAAGGTACTTGAAACATTATAAATGTCACCAATTTGAGCAGCTTTTATTTAATGTCTTACCTTCATTAAATGATGTATCTTACATGGTGTTTAGACAAATGGAAATAAATTAGACAAGATTGAAATATGGCTCTTGACACATGAGCCAAAGAAAGTGTAAAAGCTTGATGATGTTTTTGCTATGAGAAAGGTAAATTAAAGTGGGAAAAGCTTTCACTTGGCATTTTTATTTGAATAATTAGTCCATTATTCATTGGTAACGTATTCATAATTTAATACTCAAGGGCTATTGGATGCTTAATGTATGCCATGGTTAGCAAGAAAATGAATATAGTATATGGCGTAGGAAAGCTTTGTAGGTTCCCAAGCAATCCTCGTACACACCATTAGCAAGATATACAGAGAGTATTCAAATACTTGAAGAAAAACATAAATTATGGTTTGGTGTACACTGGAGATTGTTATGTTTCTAAAGGATACTTGGATGCAAGTTAGATTACTAATATATAAGATTTCTCTTCAACTAGTGGATGGGTTTTTCTACTTGGTGGAGGAGAAATTCCTTGGGATTCAAAGAAGCAAACTTACATCACTACCTCGACAATGGAATCTGAACTTGTTGATTTAGCTTCAAATGGTAAAGAGGTCGAGTAACTAAGAAACTTAGTGTTGACATTTCATTATGGCCTAAACAAATTTCTCCAATTTTTATCCAGTGTGATAGTGTTGCTACACTTGCTAAGGCATATAGTCAAGCGTATAATGGTATGTCTAGACACTTAGGTGTTACAGATATCATGGTACGCAATTTGATCAAGCATGGTGTAATATCGGCATAGTTTGTAAGAACTCAACACAATTTAGCCGACCATTTAACTAAATGGTTAAGAAGGGATCTCATGCAAAATTTTGCTAAAGGGATGGGATTAAAGTATCTATGGTGTCTCACATGTTAAAATACCCAATTCCCACCTAATATGACGTTAGGTGCTAAATTCAATGTGGAAAGCTTAACATCTAGAGAATGGAGCACATTATTTTTATTCATCCCAAAGGTTCGTGTTCAGACCTGTAAGTTGTGTAGGTTGAAGTATATCTTCTTAATGGTTCTTTTGAAAAATTGTATATGCACGTACAAAACCAAAAAGAACCCCATATACGTAGCATGAAGTTTAGTCGCTTCAAGAAGCATTAGACTTTGCTTTTATATGCTCGTTGAATGATAGGGACACAAGGCAGATAAAAGAAAGTGTCAATAAAAAACAATGAGTATGTTGAACTCATGTGTATATTATCCCCATGTATTCAAGCGAACCGACAGGGTTCAATCCTTAGCGACACCCCGACATTCGAGTATTTGGGATGTGTAATATACTAAGACGAAATTCAATCGATGCGATATTTTGTTTATGCATGAGTGATATTCTATTTTGAGACTATCTAAGTAAATCAAGGATGACACTAAAATAGGGGAGGATCATTTGTGATTTTAGTGTCATCGGGTTATTTTGGGTAATTGGATTTAATTAGTGAATGGACATTAAGTAATACTACCTCCTTCCCAGAGTATTTGTCCACTTTCATTTTTACACACCATCCAATACACTTCTTTAATCCATTTTATCTTGTAATTTGTATATTAAAAAATTAAAGAAATTATATATTAATAATCTATATGTTAAGACAAATCAAACAAGATCACACATGACTATATTTAGGCTTACACATTGAGAGAATTTGATGAGTCAAAGTGCTTAGATGAACAATTCCAAAAGTCAAAACTGGACGAATACTCCAGGACGGAGGGAATAATAACTATTGAAACGATTTAGGAGGCGTGGAGTAGACACTCGTTTAATTTTATTATTATTTGGAACAAAATGGTTGGCCAATTCAAATAGGCAATTGCTTATTCAAATAGGTTAGTGTGAACTGTGAGGACCTATTCGAATAGGTCTTTACATATTGGAATAGGTCAGAAGCTTATATGCTAACATATTAATCGAAATAGGTGTTTGACCTATTGCAATAGGTCAAGACTTAATATGCTGACCTATTCAAATAGGTTCTAACCTATTTGAATAGATCACGTAAGAGATGTGTCTGATCCTTCAAAAACGATCTCCTATTCAAATAGGAAGTATGCTATTCAAATAGGTACTGAGCAAACCCAATTTTTAAGTTAAATTAAAAAACATGTCCAATCAGTGCTTTTCCTATAAGTTGCTATATATGCCTATGGCCTATTTCGGTATGACAACCAAGAACAAGTCAAAGTGACTATACTCTTCTTCTAGAAAGCCTTTATACTTGTTTTTTAACATTAACGTCTTATCCGATTAAAATATTTTGGTTTGCCCAAAACAACTTGTCTAAAAGTGATTCTTTTAAAATTTAGTAAGCCTATCAAGTACCTTATTTGTTTCACAAACATATACCACCAATCCTCCAATAGAGCTGTTGGTAGCAAAACTATACCAGCTGCTTGTAGAGGTGAACAAGCTAGATAAGATGCACAACAGTCCCCATTGGGATGTGATCGCGACTAAGACGGACTTCAATAATTTTTTTGATGAATCAAGTTGTAGTTGGTGCGATTGCGATTGGATGAGTTAGAGGATCTACACTATTTTAGTTCCCTGATGCACCTCTACACCAAGTTCTCAAGTCACAACGGAGATGGGAAAGGTAGCTTAGGGAATCTAGAAGTTGTCGATGCGTGAAAATGACCAAGATAAGGAGGTGGCCAGGTACATCACGTGGTCAGTGAACTAAGGTCACCAACTAGAACTTGTAGGTAGATAAAAAGAGATTGTGTGCCAAGGTACGCGACCATAAAAGTTGAGAAAATCTGGGTGGATCAAGTGCGCCCTAAGCGCAACTGTAGAGCTCTGTGATACTTCATCCAGGTCAATAAATTCAAATTCATTTTGAATGGGGACTCAAGGATATGTCTGGTATCATAAGGTTACTACGTACGCACCAACTGGATGTTTTGCATTTAACTAAGGCGGTGAAGCTGAAGAGAAGACATTTTTTTTGCAGCGAGGAGGGAATTTATAAAGAAAGAGGTGGTGTGTCAACTACAATAATCTTTTCAAACTCATTATAAAATATCCATCAAATGGTGGACAAAACTATAAGGTGTGAGCTTAAGAGCTTCATGGACGCCTTTAGCAGTTAAAATGTGATCCGTATGCACCCGACTAAGATTAAGAATACCAGCTTCATCACCCCAAAAAGGTTGAACAACTATCGAGATAGTGAAGGCTTTTTGTTCGAGGGATCTAGAGCCACATACGATACACTTTAGTTGCCACCAAGGTTTTCCGATCCTTCCTTGGTCACACCATAGGCGGTTGAAATAGCTACTTAAACGAATGTGGGTGACATGATACTAAAGACTCGGGGGCGTACTGGATATAATGAAACGAGCCTCGACAAGCTTTTCACGTTGATGGGCAATGTAAGCCTTTGGTTCAATCATATAAGATGCATGTTTGTGTTCCAAGGTGCTTAAAGTTTCTAGACCACATGGTTGGTAAAAAAACATATATGCTAATCACAAGACATAGAGTGAAAGCTATACATGAAGTTAGGCCCCGAGAAGCTTGAAAGAAGTGCAACACATTACGGGGTGACTTGATCACAACACTGAACATATTCGAACTTCTGTGGGTGGGTGGGTTTCTGACACACTGTGGGTGGAACTCGATAATGGAGAGTCTCAACTTCTCCGTCCCGATCATCGCCATGCCCATCCACCTTGATCAAGCCATGAACACTAAGTTTCTAGTGGAGAAGGGCCTGGCAATAGAGGTCACGAGGGACGGAGGAGGAAGGTTTTCAAGGACGGCAATAGCTAGGGCGGTGGAGGAGGCTTTTAGTGGGAAGAGAAGTGAGGCATTGAAGATGAGGGTTAAGGACATGAGCATTAGGTTAAAGATGAAACGGAGAGAGGAGATGGACAATGCTGCGCAGGAATTGAGAAAACCTTGTGCCGAGATAGAGAAAGTGTAGTTCGATTTAAATTATTTACAACCAATTGCCAAATAATCGTACTTCCTCAATTTTCTTCCCATTTGAGCTTATTGATCGGTGTTGTTAAGGTTTTTCAATGCACATTGGATAAAACAATATACATGATATGCACATATTTTATACACTTTTTAAGCATATTTTGAAGGAGTTTTGAGTCCCAATTGAATTTAATGTTTATATTTTATTTCAATTTTCCATTTTATTTGTGTAGAGCGGTCCTATGCTTGGTTTTATATGTTTTGTAGGTATTTTGAGGCCATTTGGACGCATTGAGAACAATTTCAAGAACGGAAAATAAACATGGAAGTTTGGGACCAAAATAAATTGAAGAGAATTGAAGAAAAGAAGGAAACAAATAAAGAATAAGGAAAAAAGGAGCAAGGATTCGAACTCAAGACTTGGGGGCAGGGATTTGAAACTCTGACCATTGCACCACAACTGACTGTTCAGCATTTCAATGACAGAGATTCGAACCCAGCATCACGCTGCCAACATCCAACTGCGTTTCCATGTGAGCTACAGAAGATGTTTTGACCAATTATGCTACTGTTTGTATATACTCCGTATATACGATTTTATGTATAAAATCACATCTCCTCTCTTCTCTTAGGAGGTTGGAACCCCCATTTTCTTCCTTCTCTCTAGTTCGAAATTCTCCTCCTCCATCACTAATATCTCACCACTTTCTTCTTCCAAACACATAAAAATTACTCCATCTTCATCATCATNAATTAATTGTCCATCTTAATGTTTTGAATATTTTAAACATGGATTGTTGATTTTATTTTTACTTAGATGTTGTATTTAAAAATAAATAAATTTGAAATGTTTGTGATTTTTAATTAAGGGCCCAATCATAAACATAATTGTTACAAGGAATATGAGCTAAAATTGATATAATCATAAAATAGAACACTTTTTAAATACACCGTAAGCCTTCTCTACCTTTAACCGGGATTGAAGACTTACGGGTGGAAATAATTATTGAGTTGTATTCTTACACCATTAAATTGGGTAAACATACAATAAAATAATTATGGTTGCCGTTGCTACTAAATAATTACTCCGGATTTATCATTAGCGTGTTAAAGTCGGAGTAGTTATTATTTAGGTGAACTGCGAGAGCGTCCTTGAATACTTTTCTGCAACTCCACACATTCTATATAAAAATAAATTGACAATCCAACTTTTATAAAAACATTGGACAATTAATTTACCAATTTCTACCCCTAACTTTTCAACATCAAAAACTTTGTGTTGTTTGGAACTCTCTTCTTTTACACTTTTTATTTTATCTCTAAAACCAAAAAAACCAAAATATTTTACAACTTCTTTTGTAAACTTTTGTTTAAATTAAATTAACTCGCGTCTCTCTAAGGTTCGACACCCTACTTACAAGGGATTCTTTTTAGTTGTTATTTTTGCCCGTTCTATACTGCAAATCAACTTGGCACCGTTGCCGGGGAGACGGTTTGAGTTTTTTTTTATTTTAAACATAAGTTTTATTGTTTATTTGTTGTAAATATTTGTTATTATTTTGTTTTCCTAACCTCTTCTTGCAGGTACTAAAAAAAACAAAAACAAAAAAAAACAAAAAAAAAAACTAAAAAAAAAATAACCAAAAAAAAAAAGTGAAAAAAAAAATTCTTTGAGTTCCTTTACTCTTGAACACTTATTGGACTTGGACATATTGACTTGGACATATTGGACATACCTGGACATATTGAACTATCCCACAGGTCGGATTTTCCGCCAACGGTGATTGGACATTTTTCTTTCTTTCTTTATTTTGCCCGCTGACCGGCAAAGCCGTCACAGGGTTTGTACATTAAATTATTGCACTTTACATTTCTGCATTTTTTTTCTTTCTTTCCAGGCGTGCAAAGCCGCTATTGGACATTATATCTATATACTATATATTATATATTATATCTACTATATATTATATATTATATATTATATATTATATATTATATATTATATATTATATATTATATATTATATATTATATATTATATATATTATATATTATATATACTATATATATATATATTATATTATATATTATATATTAATGAGTATATATTATATATCTATATATTATTACTAACTCTTTTTATTTTTTTTTAGTGTCCTCGTTGGTTTATTACCGCTTGGCACTCTAACCGCTAACTACTAACTAAGGTATCACTTGTCTCGGTGGTTTTTACCTCTTGACTTAAGTGAGAACCTTTTTATTATTTTTTGCACATTACATTTTTTCTCTTTTCCTTTCTCCCTTTCCCTTCCCTTTTCATTTTTTTTCTTTCCCCCCCTTTTTATTTACCTTCTATTTCCCTTTCCCTTTCCCTCTCTCTCTTCAACCCTCCCCAATCCCCTTCTTTTTATGCTAACGCGTTCACGTGGGATTAATCAAGAAAAATTTTTCTTTCCAGAAATTGAGAAACATTTGAAAGAAATAAGAAAAAGAAAGAAAATGGAAGTCCCACGGAACGATGTTCGTGAAAATGTGCAGGAAATTCAGAGAAGACAAAATGAAGTTCCGAACAGGAGGACTCTTTCTGACTATGTCACTCCTCCTGTGGCGGAACACAACAGCATTATTCCGCCGGATGTCACAGCAAACAACTTTGAAATCAAACCTGCTGTCATCCACATGGTCTCATCTGATCAGTTTGGTGGAGGACCAACGGAGGACCCACACAACCATATAACCAAATTCCTCCGAGCGTGCAATACGTTCAAAATCAATGGTGTGCCAACTGATGCAATCAGGCTCCGTTTGTTCCCATTCTCTCTAAGGGACAGAGCTCAAAGCTGGTTGGATTCATTTCCAGACAATCACTTCACAACTTGGGACCAGCTTCACGGCGAATTTCTCAAGCGATTCTTTCCGCCTTCCAAAACAGCAAAAATCAGGCGGATGATACAAAATTTCAAGCAAAATCCAAACGAGCCCCTTTACGAGGCTTGGGAGAGATTCAAAGATCTTCAAAGGCAATGCCCACATCACAATATCCAGTCTTGGCACCTAATGACGGCTTTCTATGAAGGCCTAAATGAAAACTCACGGATATTGTTGGATGCTTCGGCGGGTGGATCATTCATGAGCCTTGAACTTGACGAAGCTGAAGAACTCATTGAGCGGATCTCAACAAACGGATCCACCTGGTACTCTGATCGTCCATCTGCTCAACCAAAAATTGGAGGCATGTACGAAGTTGATCAAATGTCGGCCATGGCTGCTAAGGTCGATAGCATGATGAGCATGATCCAAAAGATTGCTCAAGTCTCTGCTGTGCAAAATACTTCGCCAGCACCGCCTCCTGTTCCTGTTCTCATGTGTGTATCCTGTGGTGGACAACATGATCAATCCACATGTCCATGGGATGCAATGGAGCAAGTTGATTATGTCAACTACAACCGGCCGCAGCAACAACAAAATCCATTTGGCGGATTTAGTTCACAAAACAGAAATCATCCTGGTTTCTCATGGAGCAATCCCAATGGAGCTGCCAATCCACAAGCTTATCGGAGTTCACCACCCGGCTTTCAAAATCAACAGCAACAGCAATTTAGAGGTGGCCAAGGTTTTGCTAACAATCAACAAGTTAAGCAAAACCAAAGCTTCCCCTATGTTCCAAATCAACAAAAGCCGATCCTGCCAACTCCTGAAACACCATCGGCTCCCGGCTTGGATAACATTGTTGATCAGCTACTCAAATCTCAACTAGCCCAAGCCGAAACCTTGAAGAAGATGTCTGAAGAGCTTACTCAACTTCGAGCTCACAACAGGATGCTTGAAAATCAAATCTCTAGTCAAGCATCAACATCATCAACAAAGGTGACCGGGAAATTGCCAGCTTGTCCTAAGAATCCAAGAGAGCAAATGAATGCTATCACTACTCGGAGTGGGAAACAAATTCAATCTCCATCTCTTCCGAGTAGTGATCTTGAAGAAGAAAGAGGAGAGGATGTCAAAGAAGAAGCACAAAACAAAGTCAAAGGAGATGCTGCTGAAATGCTTCCAGAGTCAATTCAGATCAAAGAAGGTTTGGTTAGGAAATATGCTCCACCAATTCCTTTTCCGAACCGACTCAAGAAATCCCATGTTGAGGAAAGAAGAAGCAAGTTCTTAAACCTTATCAAGAAATTGGACATCTCTATTCCATTGCTTGATGCTATCACTGAAATTCCTTCTTATGCCAAATTTCTCAAGGAGATCTTAACAAAGAAGAAGGAAAATCCTCTCATGGTGGCCATGAATCAAGAGTGTAGTGCCATTATTCAAAACAAGATCACACCAAAACTGTGTGATCCTGGAAGGTTTTCAATTCCATGTTATATCGGAGGATCTAAAGTGAACAAAGCTCTTTGTGATCTTGGTGCAAGTGTTAGTTTGATTCCATACTCTCTATGTCAAAAGCCACACTTAGGCGATCCAAAACCAACAAATATGGCACTACAATTGGCCGACCGTTCTGTCAAGTACCCCATTGGTATTCTTGAAGATGTTCCCGTCAAGATTGACAAATACTATATCCCGGGAGACTTTGTTGTCTTGGATATGGAAGAAGATGATCAAGTTCCTATCATTCTAGGGAGACCATTTCTAGCTACTGCAGGAGCTGTCATAAATGTGAAGAAGGGTACGCTCATCCTTGAAATCGGCGACGATAAGATCGAGTT